GATGTATTCACCGTTCACTCGGATTCCCATCTCTAGGTTTGTGAGGGCTTCTGTAAAAATCTCCTCAGAGTATATATTGAAAAGAGTCGGCGATAGCACACATCATTGCCTTACTCCTCGCATGATCTTCACTTGGTCGGTTAGCTGGTCTTCAACCTTGACTTGAGCACGCTGATTCCAGTATAATTCATGATGATCCGAATGTCCTTCCCATACAATCCTACTCTTTGTAGTGCGGTGGCCATCTTCTGGTGCTGACAACGGTCACATGCCTTGGCGTAGTCAATAAAGTGAATCAACTACTCATAATAAAATATATTTATAGTAAAATGCAGAAATCATTCACAGATCCTTGGGATCACATGTAATAACATTTATTATAAATAATCACATTTAATATTATCTAATAAATAATTCAAATGCAGAAGAAGCGTAAGAAGACATAAAATCTTGTGGCCACGCAATCTTCGCGAATGATTTGCCTGTAGTACAATTGAACCCTTCAGGCGCGTAACCAACAAAATTATAATTGCCAAAATGATATCCAATCTTCGGTAGCAGTGGAATTTGAACAAGAAGAAGAGTAGAACAAATAATTTTGGAGTTTCTAATTTTAGAATAAATATTAATAATTTATTTGCAAAAAGTAACAGTTACAATTTGTGTGAAAGCGTAATTTTTTTATAATTAAATATAGCTAAAAACCATCCTTTATTAAATACTTAAAAGGATATTTGTTTATTTTTTCTGCATTTAATAGTTTAATTTTACATTTTTTGAAGTCATAAAATTATATTCCTTATTCTTATACAATCAGTAATATATTATAAAGTTTCTTAGGAGCAGATTGGGGCAGAATTTGTAAAAAGTGGATTGTGGATTGGAGAGGAGGTAGGATTGGTACATTGGTCTTCGACCTTGACTTGAGCACGCTGGTTCAGTATAAATTCATGATGATCCGAATGTCCTTCTCATCCAATCCTACTCTTTGTAGGGCGGTGTCCATCTACTGGTGCTGACAAAGGTCAAATGCCTTGGCGTAGTCAATAAAACAAATATAGACATCACAACTGACATCGCGGCATCTCTGAAGTAGGACTTGTAAGGTGAAAAGTGCTTCAACGTGTACCCATGGGAATTGCGGAACCCGAATTGCATTTCTACTTCGCATTTCTTGTAAATTCTGGCATGTATGATTTTAAGAAAAATTTTAAGTGCATGACTCATAAGTCATAATACTGATAGTTCGGAAATCTTCGCACGTTTTCGCAGATCGTTTTTTTGGTAGCGTTACAAATGTTGACAATAGCCATTCCTCTGGGATATTACCTAAATCGTATATGGCGTTGAACAGTTCAGTTAACTCCTTCGTGCTCACTACACTCATCACCTTAATAAGTTCAACGGGTATTTCGTCCGGACCTGTAGCCTTACCATTTTTAGACTGTTTTAAAGCAGCTTTTACCTCGCTTTCTAGAATTGACGGCCCTGTCATGCAATTTATTTCCGGAAGATTGCCTCGGACGTCCCAGAAAAGTATTTCGATATATATTTTCCAGGTAACCAACTTCTCATTCACTGTCGTCGCCAGATTACCGTCTTTATTTATGAGGAGGTGTGTGTTTCTCCTCTTGTACTGACCAGTGGCTTCACGAATCTTTCGGTGGATAGTTATATGATCGTGTTTCACTTCTAGCTCCTCGATTAGTTTACGTTTTTCTTGCATCCATGTCTCCTTGGCTCTTCGTATTTCTTTTCTCTTTTATCATATTTATTAAGTCACCTTCACCTTGACCTACTCTGTTCAAGACTTCTCTGTTTGAAATGTATTGAACCCATGATATTCGGAGCATTCTACGATATAACCACATCTCCAAGGCTTCTAATTTGTTCATCATGTTAACCTTCATAATCCAGGTTTCACATCCATACAGTAATACAGCATACACATAACATTTTAGGAACTTAATTCTCAGCTATAAGTTCTGCTGAGAATTGCTCAAAATAGATCTAAGATTCATAAATGCTCCTCTTGCAATTTCTATACGAGTTTTTAATTTCTTCATCCGGATTTAGTGTCTCGTTTATCCAACATCCTAGATATTTAAAATGGTTAACTTTTGTTATCGGTTCATTATTGACAATTAGTTTGTATAGCGCCGAGGTCTTGTTTACTAACCACAAGTAACTTTGTCTTTGTTGTATTTATGCTTAGTCCGTTATTAGAGCATTCTCTAGTGACTCGATCTAAAGGAATTGAAAGATCTTCGATACTTTCAGCCATGATTGCGGTGTCATCTGCATATCTGATGTTGTTGATAGTTTCTCCCCCGATTCGAAACGTTAAACAAAGTTGGGGACAACACACAACTCTGTCAAACACCTCTTTGAATACAAAATTTTGTCTGTTTCTTTGCCGTCTACCAGAATAGAAGCTTCTTGATTCCAATATAGATGTTGTAAAAGTCTCAGATATTTATCATCTATTCCAATTATTTCCAGATATTCAAACAGCCTACCATGTTGAACCCTATCAAACGCCTTCTCAAAAATCTATAAAACAGACGTAAATTGGTTTTCTGTACTTCCCATGATCGTTGAAGTAGTGTTAGCATTGAGACAAAGCTTCCCTTGTTCCCAATCCTTCTCTGAAACCGAATTGTTTATTTCCCATTATGTCTTCACATTTCTGCTTCCTTCTATTAAGAATTATCCTAAGAAGTAGCTTGAGGGAGTGACTCATGAGGCTAATTAGTCTAAAGTCTTTACATGATAATGTATTAGGTTTTTTGAAGTGGATAAATGTAGACTCCAACCATATTTGTGGCAGTGTTCGAGTTTCGTATATGTGGTTATAAATGTTTGTTAGTTCTGAGACATTGTTATCGTCTAGAAGTTTAAGTCTGATGGTATTTGGTCCGGGCCTGGAGATTTCCCATTTTTGTTTTGTTTGATGGCTTTTTCTACTTCTGCTTTTAAAATACTTGGACCAGTATTCGTATACTTTGTGGCGTTAAGTGGTGGCCTCGATATTCAGGAAGAGCTCTTTTATGTAGTTGGTCCATTCTTCCTTTTTTTCGTTTTAAGTCAAGAATAATTTTACCTTTGGAGTTTCTCATAAAGTGAGGAGTTCCTTTCTCTGAGTGTAGGTAATTTCAAGTTTTTTGTGTATATTAAACTCGTCATGTTTTTTTGTTAGTTCTTCATCTCACGACATCTCTGTTCCATCCAGTCCTCTTTTGCTCGCTTAACCTCATATCTTATTTGTCGATATATTTCTCTACATCGAGTCTCATTTTTATTTTTACAATTCTTTTTTGCTGAATAAGGTCTAGTATGTTATCGGTCATCCCATCCTTTTTCTTTGTCTGCTATGGTAACCATAGCGGAATTCATTATATCTATATTATGTCCGATATTTTCTTGTTCAGATCTTTCTAGCCGTTTTTTTAATTCCATGATTTATCTTATTTCCGTACTCATCTGCTAATACGGCATTTCTTAGGAGTCGATTATTATGTTTTTTTCTGAGCTGTCGGGGTTTTTATTTTTTTTTTAATTCTAGTTTGAATCCAGCACAGAGCAGATTATGATTAGTTGCTACGTCTGCACTGGGAATGATTTTGCATATACTTCATCTAATTTAGATAACGACTTACGTCATGTATCTACGTCAGAGATCGAAGTTGACATAGTTGCCAAAGTATAAAAAAATCTTGACTCCATTTTAAATCAAATAGATCACATAATTATTGCAAAAGTATTACCATCTCTTTACAATGACTATTTAAAATCTTACGTGACATTTTTGAAATAAAACACACTAATTTTGTTCTAGAAAGCACAGATTTTATTAAATAGGTAAAAATATAAAACAAGAGATATTCACTTTAAAATTCAAAATAATAAAGTACAAAAGTGTCAACACCGCAACTGTCAAATAAGTGTTACCAATTTATGCCAAAATTTTACCTTCGTTCGATTAAAGTTACAGTGTGTTCCGAACAAATGTTCTTGATAAAACGCTTTATAATGCATTTATATAAATTAAATGAAACATATTATTGTGTATTTCTTTAAGTTAACATTAATAGAAATTTTTAAATATTATTTCTACGCGTATATAATAAAATATGTCTAGTGGCTGTAATGCCAGTGTACTCGGTAAAGTGATTCTAAAAAAGAACACACCTACCGCCTAAATATTTCGTGTTGGTATCATGTGACGTCACAGGCTATGACGCCGATGACGTGCATCGTTATATAAATTAGATGAAGTGTATGTAATACTGTTTCTAAACCTTCTGTTAATGATACTGTAGTCCATTTGATTTCTGACTAAGCTAAGCATAATATAAAATCATAATTTGGTGTTAATTGAGAGTAAACTAAATGTAAGACCAAATACTTACCATGTCGGGATGGTATTTTAAGGTTTTTTTTCCTGGATTTTTCCTCATAATTTACTATGGAATCACTAACAGGAGAATTTTACTATCATAATGGCATGTGGTTGTCTTTTTAAAGACGAATCATATGTTATGATTTTTTCTGACGCATATTCTCAAGTTAAAGTTGATTTCATGTAATCTAATGAACTATCTAACAATAAAGTCGTCCCAGGAACGCAACTCAGCAATATTGGCAATATCATTTTAAAGTCGTCAACTTTAAAATGTATATGTCTAAATTGTCAATATAAATGAGTCAGATAAAATTAAATTATCAGAAGAATTTTTCACCAACAAAAAACAATCACCAAACAATTCACCAACAATTTTAACCTTTATTTGTAGCTTATTTCCATTAAAATAGTAATTACTTGATGCCATAGCTTCAGAACAATATTAAGAACTATAATTACATACATGTCATATGTTTGTGTGTGTGTGTGTGTGTGTGTGGTTGGAAGTATGACTGCGAATTACTGATTTCACTAATAAAAAATAACTTCTTTCTTTTTATGATTTAGAATATATTTAACAAATGCTTTCTTTTAGTTTATAAGAATGCTAAGGTATCATGTGAAGAAGAAACAGAAATATTATTATCTCAGCACGAATTGTCTTTACTTAAGAGATGCGAATCATATTTAGATTATGTTGGGATCAGTCTGGAATTTTTTTCAAACGGTGTTTGTGTCAAAGAAGTTCCGCTTTGCTTATATTATAAATTTAAAGGACAGGTAATTATCTCATATTTCTAAAATCAATTTGTAAACAATTCTGGTTAAATCAAATAATTTCTTAATTTAAATTTGTTTGATTTCCGGATTGGAAATCGAAACGACAAAAAAAAAATGTGAAAATAATCAATGCTCCCAAAGATTTCCGGGGTTAGTAAAATTAAATCTATAAGCTAGATATTTTAGAGCTAAGATTAATACTATTACAAAAATGAATGTTAACCTCAACAGTCTTCCGGGTTAAAGGTCGAGTCAGACACATCAGTCACGTCTCGTCACAGTCCTGGCGCCGAACCGAACAATCCGTTTCATCAGGCGACGAACAGTTTCCCAGCTGTCAAATAATTAATAGTTCTGTGACCAAACAGGACCTGTTCGGCTCCAAGACTAACCGCGGCCTTTAACCACGTTGATTCTGGGTTAAACCAATGTTTTGATAAGTGATCAGTATAGTAGTGTCTGCGGGCTCGGGAGACTGAAACCTCGGAAGCCCTAAAGAAGACATCAGAGAGGATGTCGAAAGCTCGGCATAATAAGAATCAACGCGGTTCAACTCAGAAGACTGTTGAGTTAAATATTTATTTTTGTAATAGTATTAATCTAAGCTCTACAATAAATTTATTAATAGATAACATAATAATTAAAATTAAAAGTGATTTATTATAATAATATTAAACATATGATAGTTGTTCAACGATTTATTTTCATTTAATCTGTTTAAGGAATCTACTGAGTCAATTAAAAAAATCATTCAGACATTAATACATGAAGTAATTGAACTGTTACGATCCACTAGAGGAGCTAATTTAAAAACTTTACCACGAGTACTCCAAAATGTCATCAGTTTAGAAGCTTGCAGAGGTAATAAATACATTTATTATTATACTAATATTAATAATAATTAATTATTATACAGTTTAAAAAGCATAAATTAGGTATTCATGTAATCACGTAGGTAATCTTCTGTGATTTTGGGAGAGCCGATGTGAGTTGGTGGTACTTCTACAGTTTACATTTCTTGGAGACAAACTTTACACATTTTTCAAAAATAGAACTTTTATTAGCACCTACATTAAAGTGTTACAATATGACATCTGTCAGACTGCGTCGACATTTCTAAAAATAATGATGTAGGTGACTGTTAAAACACGTTCTTTTTGTTTGAAATAGGTGAAAAGTTTGTCTCCAAGAAATATAAATTGTAGAAGTACCACCAACTCATATCTGCATCACATGGCGATCCTGCCAAGATCGCCAAGTAAAGTCTCTGAAGGTAGGTTTTTTTTAATGTTAACTAGCGAAATTTGGTTTTACCCATAGCTATCCCTACTGAGACTTTTTTTAACTTTTTATTTTTTTTTAACTTTTTAAGAAAACTCATCTGGAGTAAAAAATTAGTTCAACTGGCCCTATTGAGAGACAAACGCGAAATAATTTCACATTTAGCTCATGTTAAATTGGTGACATCGATGCCAAATGAAATTAAACTTTTTTGTCTCTGAGTACCCTGAGCCACAGACGGAGTTGTCAACACCAAATTTATGTTTGTGCCATTAACCAAGACAATGTCATCCATAGGAGCCTCTACGAAGTTGTTGCATTTTCGCTATTGTAGGAATTTGACCTCGTAGTCTGTCTCTCATCATCTTTCATCATGATGATAAAGTTTTGAATTTAACTAAAACATAACCATCTAAAGAAGGAAGATTTAACAATTCTGCAAAGTAATCAGGCTCAACAGCAAACAAATCTTCATCTATGTCTATTACGTCTTCGTGTCTACACATTGAATGTCTTATTCGTCATTTTCTGATGAATCAACGTCCATTGTTTGTGCAGATTTTTGGCTCTTGGGTCCTTTTTGCTGCCTTTTTCATGGAAAGTGAAAGTTTTATTTCTGGAGACCTCGTAGCTAGTACTCCTGCTTTTGGATAACCACGAAACTCTTTAGGAGAGAGGATAGCTTAATTTGGACCAGCTCCTGAATCAAGTATACTAATTTCTGTATGATTTGAAGCAGTTCCTTCTACTTGTAGGAGAGAACCATTAGGCGACTCACCTGGCACAGTATAACTGTGTGTGTTGGTGGTTGGTCATCCACAGCGCCAACAGGCGGTCGTTCACTTACATAGGTATACCGACAAAAGGACGCGGAAAAAGGACGCATAAAAAAGGACGCGGAAAAAAGGACGCGCGAAAAAAGGACGCGTGGAAAAAAGTACGCGCGAAAAAAGGACGCGCGAAAAAAGGACGCGTGGAAAAAAGGATGCATATTATTAATGAAATACTATAAATAGTTTTATTTTAATTGACAATAGCAATTACCCCCGTTTATCCCCTATATATAATTACAGAAAATGATTCTACCTAACCTAAAATCGGTTACGGTAAAAGTAAAAAGTGAACAATGTTTATATAAACATAACTTGCCTTCACACTTTATCAGGCTTAGGACTGGCAGCAGAAGCTGGCGTGTTTACAAGTTTTTTTTAATTTTTTTTAAATTTTTTGCTTTTTTTGGAATTTTTTGTCATTTTATTTTTTTTGTTTTATTTTTGTTATTAATTTTTTTTTGTATTTTTTTATGTGGCAACTGAAAATTGTGAGCAATGCCTCTCAAATATTCTACAGTTGGCCTGTCAGCATAATCGGCAACAATAGCCCTTATCCTGTTTGCTGTATCTTGATATTTTCTTTTGCGTGGAGGTACATTGCCCCGAAATGTACTGCTCTATTTTCAAAACATTTAAATCATATTCTTTTTTTAGAGAATTAATAAATTTCCAAATATTCGGGTGTGCACTATTGAGAAGAGAAGAAAAGCTGTTGTGCCATCCTTCGACAGCATTATTAGTTCGAGGTATATCTTGGTCTGCCAAATCGTAACAATTCCATACATTTGCTGGAAAAAGGGGTTGTCTTCGATTTCCTCTTCTAGCTAATCTCCCTACCCAAGTGTCTTCAAAGTAATTAATCAGCGGCACTAGTAGTTCTTCATTTTGTGTATAAAAATCGCTATTGAGCAATTCCCCGTACACTCTGACTACATGGTTGTCTGGAACAAACGCAAGAGCTGTCAATTGTCTTAGGTGAAGGGCGAAGTCAGGATTCTCAATATATCTACGTTGCAATCCGGCACTTTGAATATGGCGCCACATACACTGCGAGAAATGAAAAAAACATCCGCGGATTCTCACATTTGGGAACTCAGTTTGTGCAGCATTCATTACCGCTCTTTCCAGCCCATCATTATTGTTAGAGGGCGCAAGGCCGGATTCAACACCTTTAGTTGCTGAAAAACACGTGTATAAGTCTCTTGTGTTTTGTTCGTTAGAAGTGCAAATACAGTCGGGATTACATTACTGTATGGCACTCCATGAATTGTGTATATTTGAGAAAACAATGGTGGTGCTGAGTTAAATGTTCCATCGGCATACCATACCATGATCGCATTGTTCCATAAATCTTAAATTTCTTTGTGTTGAAAATAACAAAATACGTTCTTCCTCTGGCCCGCTATCAAATAATAGAAATAGCTGACCGCCTGTAGTTGTTTTATATTCTTCAGGAAGCATAAGTTCTTCTAAATTTCTCGATTTGCGAGCGTACCTCCTAGCTCGTTCCGAACTCTTTGCACAGTTTTTTTTATACGACGACACTGATGGAAGTTGTGCCGTAGCAGCTAAGGAAAGTCCTTGAAAAATTTCACTTACTACACCTTGGGTGGAGTGTTCCAGTTGTTGTGCACCTTCTTTCATCCGGTTACAAGCTTCTTTTGCTTCAATCTTTGCCGTGTCTGCAACGTGATTATGTTCTGTGGATTTTGTAATTTCATCCACAATCGGTATGCACTCTTCCTGTACATTTGCACTTATTATTAGTATGACAGCTTCCAAATTGTCTTTTCACCAATCACTCGCTCTTTTTTATGGAGAAATCCATTATAAAGTAACAAGTTGTTGCCTTTTTGGCTTTTCACAATTGCTAACTCCATCTTAACTGACTGATATCATTTTGTAAAATGTTTTTTTGTTAAGAACAGAATAAATTACCTACCGCGACAAGTTTCCTCTATATAAACAATTTGTTAATGATGTTTTGTTATATCGGACCTTTTGTAATATTCATTTCTTAAAAACAATTTATCAAACAATTAGAAAGTTTTATTTTCTTCTACTAATCGTTTCTATTACATTCTTAACATTACCTGCGGAATTTACCAACCTTCCGGTTCGCGTTAAACCCTCATTAGACCCCTTACTGGGCTGGTACTTGGGTTTTTCTAATCCCATACATAATTTCTGATAATTTGGAGTCTAACCTGTTTCAATACAGAAATCTTGAATCAACATTATATTAGTATTTATTATTTTACCTAAGATATTTTAGTCCTAGCCTCGATAAAATGTGAGGGCAAGTTTTTTTCATATAATTCTTTTTCACTTTTTACTCTTACCGTAACGATTTTAGGTTAGGTAGAATCATTTTCTGTAATAACATATGGGGATTAAAAAGGGGGTTAATGGCTAATGTCAATTAAAATAAACTATTTATAGTAATTCATTAATAATATGCGTCCTTTTTTCCACGCGCCCTTTTTTCCACGCGTCCTTTTTTTCGCGCGTCCTTTGGTCTCGCCTCCTGTTTCCCGCGTTCTTTTGTCGTAGATTCCTTACATGGTAATAATTGCACAAGAAGTCTGCTTCGGTAATAGCAAATTCTGGATGTTCTTAGTACAACATTTACAAATTATTGAAAAACAGATCTATATTCGCTTTAATGGAAGGAGTAGAGCATCATAGGCAGCAAGCCTCAGGCGTTCATTGGGAGAGTTTGGGGTGCCCATTGGAGAGGTTAGTCAATGCCTGCTACTTTTATCTTTTTCCCGGGGAAGCCCGGGGGTTAAAGCGGTAAACTTTTTTGCATCTTTGAGGTCCCAAAATGAATATTCCTTGCAAATTTTAGCTTCTTTGTATGATTTTTAGGGGTCAACACTCTGACGACTGGACTAAATACGATATTTTTGACAGAAGTAAAGAACGCAAAGAAAACGCAAAGCTTCATTCAATAACTCATAACAATGTAACGTATAGCAAATGTATAGCAAATAAACGAATGTATTGAGTGACAACAAAAATCTGTATTGCACTATAGATTGTCTTAAACCTACATGAAACAAACATAATTCTGTTTTTCCTTGTATAATATAAATAAATTCACCCATATTTGAAAATCTAGATAAATGTAAATAAGTCAAGATGATTTTTCTTCAACTTATCCAAAAAACTAATCAGAGTTGTGTTATGAATAGAAAAGATATTTAAGTTAAAAATTTGTTAATTTTTTTTTAATTGCGTATGTTTTGCTTAGTTTTAAAAATCTACCGATATTATTTAGAACCACATGAACACAATTAATCCTTACAGTATTCAATTTTTTATGTTAAGGTGCTATAAAATTTGGCGACGAATTAAATAATCATCAATGCATAGAGCTTCTTCAAAAATTGTCAACTACCGATCTGCCTTTCCAGTGTGCTCATGGAAGACCAACAGTGACACCTTTGATGAGATTGAATTTAAAATCAAATAACATAATGGTAAGAAAAACATCTTTATTAAGGGGACAGTCTCATGCGAAACTTTCAAAAAATCAATTTTTTTTTATAAATCGCTTCCATATACATTCATAAAACTCCCTCCTAAAACTTTAAAAAGAAATTCCCACTAGAATATAAGTTATAGTTATTTATTAACGTCATCTACGCACGTATGAAAACCGGTTTCTCTCCGCGCGGCGAGCGCGAAGGCTCCAGCTGCTCTTGCTTTTGTATTATACGTTGGGTAGTATTAGTGATTAATTTTTATATAGTATGTATATCTGTATAACGTTTGGCGTTTACTATACACATTTGGATTTGGAATTTTAATCTGGAACATAGGATTTTTTTACAAATACTAAGATTCTCTGCGATGCAATTAACCAGTGTAAATTTATTTGTTCCACTGGATTACTTCTCCTTAGCGGTTTATAGTAGCGTATATGACACGACGATAGTAGCTTATATGGCACGCCGACAGTGTTGCTCCGTCTACCTATTTTTCCTGAAAGTCCGGTTTTGTGCAGATAATAAATAATGTTTTATTAACATCAATTTTGTTTGTGTTCATTAGGTATTATTTGAGTTATAAAATTTATACTTAAATACATTTATTATTTCAAATATTGTTTATAATTTCAAATTAAAAGAAGTGTAATATAATTATTTTATTTTTAAAATTCCTTTTTATTTTTTATTTTAGAAATCAACTTATTTTTCAAGCCGTTTTGGCGATATTTTCATATCTACATTTATAAATAAGTACGTTTTCGTTGAATTGACATGCGATCTAGGTGTGTTCCGTTTTTACACTTACACTGGCAGCATCGTGGCGTGAATTGAGACTCCAGTCGAACATGAACAAATGAATTAATTATAAAACATCGCGACGTTGTATTGAAATTTACAGCTTTACAAAGCCATTTACAACAACTGTTGGATGAAGAGGGTCCTCAATATTCACCAGGAATGGCCGATTAAACGTGAGTATAAAGTTATCAGCCTTTTATTCACGAAAATTATGTAAAAAAAACTTTAAATGCTTTTTTCTCAAAAGTAACATTTTCAAACTGGTCAGACACTTTTCTCCGAACCTTCTTAACCGATTTTAAAAATACCAAAACTTTTTTGAATGTACATACAAAATACTAGATGATAAACCTTTAAAAATATTAAAACCACCCCCCCACTTTTTCGACTTTTCTGTAAAAAATCCGTATAAACTCTTCAAAATAATACAATTTGCATATTTTAAGGTTTATCATCTAGTTTTGAGTCTCACGAATACCACCCATTTTGAATTTTTTGAATATCTGTTACAGGTGACCCACAAAGTGTCTTACCACCAAAAACGCACTTTTTACTACACGCCATCTACAGGACACCAATGAAGTTAAAATCGCTATTAAAATTTGTTTTATGTACTTCAAGACTTACTTAATCATCTCCTAAAGGAATTATGTTAATAAATATTATAGTTTTTTTTTCTGTTTTAATTTTAAAATGTGTCTTTTTTTTTAATAGCATGAGACTGTCCCCTTAAAAATTTGATACAAAGACAAAATATTCAATATATTAATGTGATATTACTAAAGATGGTATAGGAATCACTCAACTAAAGCGTCTTCTTCGTCTAGAGGTTTGCTATTTTTTTGTTGCATTTTTTTTTGTGTGAGAGTATAAATCTTCCAAAGACCGTACCAGGTAAATCGTACAGTTCACCAAAAGTAGCTGAAAGTCTGAAAATAACCAGGCCCATGATGCGCATTCGTTATCCGACGGATCTCGCACTGAGCGTCCACTTAATATCTACCGTTTGTGACGTGACCAAGTCGGTAAAGTCTGCGAAACATTTTTTGTAAGTACGAACCGCAAAGAAGAGTCATTTGCAAATCTGTGTTGTGTACCTATATTAAACATGGAGTTTAAATCGAACGTTTTAAATAATCAGACACGGGAAGAAATAGCAAATGTGATTAATTTTATGAGAAAGGAAGCCAAAGACAATAAACCATGTAGATATTTGAAAAAAGTGCAGGAGCGTGTGGTATTGGCAACAGGTGTTAGTTTAAGCAGCGTTCAAAAAATTGCTAGGGAAATGCAATTAATTGAAGACGGCGAATATTCCTCATTTGTATCTACAAACAAAAAGAGGAAAAAAGCGGTTCAAAAACGAGCTTGGACGATTTTGATATAGGGCGTCTTCGACGTTGTATAATGGATTTTTGTATAACACAAAAACAAGTGCCAACTGTGAAACGCATACACAGATCATTTGCAGATGAGTGCAACTATTCAGGTTCCATAGAAAGACTACGAACAGTAATTAGAAAGATGGGATTTCGTCGGCGAAAAACCAGAACTAATAGAAAATTATTAATGGAAAAGTCCCATATTCAACATCTTAGACTGAAGTGAAACGTTACAGGAAAGCAAATCGCCCAATTATATACATGGATGAAACATATGTCCATTCATCTCATACCTACCAAAAGAGCTGGTCTGATAGTTCAAACAAGGGCCTACAAAAACCAGTATCTAAAGGACATATGCTTGTGATAGTGTAAGTGGTTGCTGGAGATGAAAGCGGTTTTTGTTAAAAATGCTTATCTGCGCTATAAATCTATTATAAAAACAGGAGATTATCATGATGCAATGAACTACGACAATTACAAAAATTGGCTTCAGGATAAGCTGATAACAAATTTGCCCCGAACAGCGTTTTAGTGATTGATAATGCATCGTATCACAACGTACAAACTGAGAAATGTCCAACTATGTCTTTCAGAAAAGCAGAAACGCAACAGTGGCTGACAACTCGAAATATTTCGTTTACAGATGATAAGTTGAAGTTTGAACTATACATTATAAAATTACACAAATCTCGCTTTAAAACGTATGAAATTGACAAAATACTCGAGGATAAAAGACATTCAGTTTTACGGTTCCCCCGTATCATCTGGATTTGAATCCTTTAGAGATAGTATGGGTTTCTATGAAGCAATATGTCACTGAAAAAAATGGAATTTTAATTCGTTTTCAGTCGAACAATGGAAAAAGAGGTGTGAACATGTTAAAAAAAATAGAACAAAGTTATATGGCACAACAGCCAGCTTTTGACACCGTGGTGGATCAAATAATCATAAATGTAGGTGTCGATAGTGTACCTTTTACCATGGATGAACTTGTCGAGGCATTGGGTTCACTCAAGACTCGTAGGTCCCCCGGACTGGATCAGATACCACCTGAGGCGGTGAAGGGTCTAGGACGGGTGGAGCCTGCGTGGCTTCTAGAACATATGAATGCATTGCTCGAAGCACAAACTTTTCCTGAGCCTTGGAGGACATCGAGGTTAATACTGATTCCCAAAGCTAGGGAGAAGTATCGCCCCATCTGTCTTCTTCCATGCATCAGTAAGCTGTATGAAAGGATGCTGCGAGTACGCATAGACGACATGATTGAGAGGTCAGGTGGTTTATCTCGGAGACAATTTGGTTTTTTGTAAAGGGAAAAGCACGATTGATGCAATCATGAGCATTACTCGAAGCATTGCGCAACAGAGGAAATGAACATCGCTGGGCAGCCCTGCTGTTGTTTGATGTTAAGAATGCATTCAATACGCTGCAGTGGAACGAGGTAATGAAGGCAATGGAGGAGAGAGAATGTCCTGGTTACCTGATGAATGTTGTGGTGGAGTATCTGTCCGAGAGAAGGATTATGGTGCAAAGGGCACGATCGTGGACGTGACGGCCGGGGTACCCCAGGAATCTGTCTTGGACCCCACGCTATGGAATCTGGCAAATGACGGGGTTATGCACTGTGAATACGGAGAGGGTACAACCCCCTTCGCATTCGCGGATGACCTCGTTGTACTGGTAGTAGCCCGGGATGAGCCAGATCTCAAATACCGGGTTCGGAACGCAGGTGGCGTCGTAAAGAAATAGATGACGCAACACGGACTAAAACTTGCGACAGAAAAAACCGAAGCCATCATTCTGAAGGGGACAAGGAACAGGCAAGGTGTTGAATTAAAATATGCGGGAGTATGTCTAACACCCAAGAAACAAGTAAAGTACCTAGGAGTGACATTACACCAGAATGAAAAATGGGGGGAGCACGTTCGGGAGGTGGTCCGAAAGGCTGCGAATAGTGCGGCTACGTTGGGGAGAGTGATGCCGAACATTGGAGGACCCAAATCCGAAAGGAGGAGGGTCTTACACGGTGTTGTACAGTCTATCGTCCTCTACGCGGCACCAGTCTGGAGCGAGGCGGTAGAGATAACGGCCTATAGGAGTCTTATGAAACGAGTAGACAGAACAAGTCTATTGCGAGTGGCATGCGCCTATAGGACTGTGTCTGCGGCAGCCTTATGGACCATCACTGGATGTATTCCGTTGCATGTTTTGGCGGTGGAAAGAAAAGAGCTTTATGAGAGAAGAGGCCCAAACCGTACTATGGCTGAGAGAAGACAGGTAAGGGAAAGGTCAGTTGTAAGATGGCAAGAAGAATGGAACAATACGGAGGATGTGGCACAGTGGACGAAAATGCTGATCCCGAACATAAGAACTTGGGTGGACTGTGGCCACAGGCGACTGGATTATTTCCTGACGCAGGTGCTCACAGGACACGGGTGTTTTTAGGGCCTACCTTTATAGGATCGGAAAGGCTGATACAGATGAATGCCTATATTGTGGATACTCGGGCCCTGTGACACATACGATGTTGGATTACAGCAGATGGATAGTGGAAAGGAACAGAATGGAGAGAGAGACAGGTGTGAATTTTCTTACAGTGAGAGAAATGATTGAGAGAATGATTGAACATAAATTAGGTTGGATTAACATACACAGTTATATCCGTGCAGTGATCAAGAAAAAGGAAGAGGAAGAAAGACAGTTGGACCAACGGCAAAGGTAGAGTGAATGATGCTGAAAGGTGAAGTTAGAACAGTGGGTCACACTTTTTGAGTTAGAATGCGTGAGTTTGACTGTGGGGAAGGA